GTATGTACAATAGGTTTCTAGCTAGCGGAATTTTGAGTAATCTTATTACAGCACGAAACACTGCAAAAACGCATGAACGCATGATGCCCCCCCAGTGCGCGTCGCCAATGACTGGATTCTTTGACGAGCGATCGTTCTAGCAACATTTCTACTTTCAGTGAACAGAAAATTTGCATCTTTTCGAAGAGTGAGTATTTACTGGAAAAAAGACTGGACTTCATGCAAAAAACTGATCCTAGAGGTCCATGATGGCCCTCTAGGATCAGTTTTTTGCATCATCTCAACCGAAACTCTCCTTCTTGCCGGAGGGAGCCAAAGCGCGGCCAGTGTGAGTCTAAGCGTTAAGCTACAGCGCAGAGGTCATTCCTGCTGTTAGCAGTCTACGAGTTTAGTGCAAAAACGCATGATCGAATCGGCTCGGCTTTGGGTTTTAAATTCTGTTTCGAATTAATTGATGTAAAAATCAAAAAAAAATCGGAAAATGAGTTGCTAGCCAAATCTTTTACTCTTCTTTAACGCGAAGTTTATTTTACTGCCCCCAAGAATTGTTCATGTCGCTTCTGGAAATCGGAAAAAGCAGACGTCGGTGCGTTATCAGCAGCACTGCGGCGAGCTCATTATCTTTAGCACTACCACGAAGTTTCAAGTCAATTTCAATTTATTTAACAAATGATTAGTAACTCTGGAGATTCTTTAGATATGTTTGGAAGCAGAATTGGCGGTTAATTATCGTCAACTGTTTCGGGAAGTACTTCACAGTGTTACTAGACTACCAGATGTGACACACACAGTGGCCATTGGTTCTGCCTCAGCTGCTTTGTCATGTAACGCGGCTGCTATCATTGTGCTGACAACTTCTGGACAGTAAGCGCTTCACCGAATTTGTCAAAGATTAGGATAAATTGATTCTCCGGATCTAAAAGACTATAATGCCGCAGGGAATTCTCAGAACTAATTTAGACCTTTTCAACCACTCAGTTTACACCCGCTTCACATTTTTCAGATGGACTTTTCAGCATTTCCAAAACTAAAATATCTTTCCTTGTGTTTTGCTCAAAAAAATTTCATACACATAGTACCTTAGAGTATCTCAAAACATATAGTCTAAATTGAAAAGCCTAATATATCTGTGCTTATACATCGTGCAGCCTCTTTGGCCATGAGCAGCATGTTTCTAGTTAATGAAACGAAATCTTCAAATGAGGCAAACATACCAACGACGAAAAAGAAATAGATTTATCTGGGGGAAGATCGAATTAAAAAATGGAGGAAAAATAACTAACTTATTTTGCGAAGCAGTAAATAAAAAGCAGCTAAATTTGAACTTTAAACTCTGCAAAAAATAAAGAATATACGCTTTTTTTGGTTGAGCGACGTTTGTCCGAATCTGCACATGCACTCGATGTGGTCTGTGAAAATCAGTGGGTCAAAGACGTCCCTTTCAAGTTGAAGCGAAATACCCCTAAAATAAGCAGTCCAAATAATTTCGCTCACTAAGGTTGCAGATAAGACACAAATTCTCATCATTATCTCTTCATTCCTTCCGTGTTAAAAAAACTTTATGAGCAGAATTGGTAAGAATTTTTTGGATAGGAGGAATAAGCTATTATAATAAGCAGTTAACTGATTTTTGACAGATAAAGATGAGAAACTGTAGAAAATGAAGTCTCTTTTGAAGTTTCCTAGTCAAAAAATGAGAGATAAGCATTTAATGAATAATACTGATGAATAATATTTCTAATGAATAATACATAACTTATTTTCTATGCCTGCCCGGATTTCATGCGGGACAACAGTAACAAGTAATGTGTTGGCGCTGGCTTCTGTTGCAGACGGGTCCTATTCTCGAAAATTGTTTTAGACCGGGAAAAAGTCGGGCACTTCTTTTTACATCCGGACGCAATCTGTTACCACTATACCACCGTTCTTGAGCTCCAGGTTCAGCTGGCTGCACATTTACTTTGTACCTGCCTTGAAAGGGAGGATACACTTTTATTTTCTTTGTCTCCCATAGGCAGTTTCCATCTTTTACTTCTTGGTAGCTCCTTGACTGTCTTTTTGCGGGTTTTCCGCAACACCTTTTTATAAAGTTGTTGGTAGCATTTTTATATGAATAATATTTCTGTTTTTGTACGTTTCTGCTCTACCTAGAACTGAAGAGCGGGCACGGCTGGAGTCGGTATGTGAATGCATTCCTGTAACACATTTACATGTGATATCTGCACTGACTTAACAGAAAACTTCAGTGCTTTTAGTAATGAAATTTCTTTTTGAGGCATCAGAAAAGTAATTGCTTAACTTCGTTCCGCAGCTGAAAAAAATCCCTTTCGCTTCATTAAAATCTTAAGGCAAAAACAATTTAGTACGGCTTCCTTGGTCAGTCGCTATCGTCCAATGGTGCCAATCATAGCGATATCACGTGAAGAGCAAGCTGCGCGACAAATGCATTTGTACCGTGGCGTTTATCCACTGCTTTACACAGGTATGCGGTAAACATCCTGTCAACAATGCCCGTTATTAAGTTTTCTGCGCTACAATGCACTCTTTAAACAGTATGGGTTTATCTCACGCATGGTAAGTGAGTTGCAGTACCAAAGAATGATGACTGGAAAGCAGACATCGATCTACGAGTAGCCTTCGGCATGAAAGCAGGGCAAGCGCACGGTTTCATCAAGTCGAATGATTTAATCATCATTATCACCGGATGGTCTAAAGGTACATTTTATCAGTGACTCGGATGATCCTGAAATTCATCAAGAACTTACTTGATACTGATTCGTAGAGAGTCAGAAAGATTCCCTGCTTAAGAAGACATTTTAAAATAACAGTCATATGGCAAGATTACATACTGCATAGTAATCTGATCATAACCTCAGCGAGTAGTTTGACCACAATTTACTGCGAATAAATTCCATTGAATCAGTGTACATTTTACAAAAATGAACTGCTTTAGGCTCTGGCCATACGAACACAATGCGCATCATGCGAGTGCCGTGAGACTCAAAATTGCCTTGTTAGTGTGACCCGAAAGCACACTGTGGACGACTTAAAACTGACCCTTCGTCAAGTGCTGACCAGTCCCCTATGTTTGATCTGATTCACTTCGTCGAAAACTAATGAAACAGATGTATTCATAAAGTGGAAAAAGGAATAAACTGAAGTATAAAAATATAAATTGGTTATAAATGCAAGAGATTTACTGATACAGTAGATATGTGTATTACTTTGGGGAAGCACAGCAGCTGTGCGCCGGGTAAACAGTGGTCGCATGTATTAAACATTACTGAGCATACTGAAAATCGACGAAAGACTATTGATAGACTAAGTCAGTGAAGAACTAGAATTCTGGGCTTTTGATATCTCTTCAGTGAAATAATTTGTTCTCTGCCCTCAGTTTTTTAAAAACTGAGGGCAGAGAACAAATTATTTCGCTGATGTGTACCAAAAATGGTGGCAGTTGGCATTATCAAACACCGCTATCAACATCATCCTAAGAAGCAACCCGAAATCTTTTTTGGCGCTGCGTTAGCAAATAAAGTATGACTTGGACATTTACAAAGAAGTGAACAACTGAAAGAATTTGCGGTCTTCGAAGAACCTGTATATTAGTACAGGACGAATGATTCTTCGTTAAAAACTGGTTAAGATTCTGAAATCAGAGGTGGAAGTTTCCTATACTGAGCAAACCGATCAGTACTAAGTAAATTCATCTACCCCGATGATGCAGCAATTAAAGACTTAGCACGTTATTATGCGTTTTTGCCTATATGCAAATTGCAAAAACGCATATTGGGATGACCCTGTCTGTATGTGTATGTGTGTGTGTGTGTGTTTGTGTGTGTGTGTGTGTGTGTGTGTGTTCGCCTGTCCGGGTATTTCAACTCGGCAACTAAGCAAGTTC